TTTCAGCAGCCTTTGATTCATCACATCCAGATATAATTGGAAGTGATGCAACATGTTTAAAGAGTATTCCTAAAATGAACATTTTGGCAGATAATATATAGCGCCTCAAACTGCGCCTCCAGGCATGTCTTCAAGGTTATTTTCATTAAATGAGCATCTAAGGTCACAGTTTTACTTCAATAAATTTACATTTAATGCTGCTTTATTTGCACGCCGCGCTATTACACTGTGAAAGCAGTTTAGGTGGAAAGCTGCAATCGAGTGAAAAGTCATGACACTAAACTGTATGCTTAAAGCAAAGCTTCATTTAATTAGCCGACAAGTCTGACAGATACTATTTAACATGAATCACTTCCCTGATATGTCTCGCAGAATACGTGATAGGGGCGGGAAAAAAAAGGTTCAGTGCAGACATGTTGAGCTCATTTATAAAACACTCCAGACAGACACGAGAAGGAAAAAAAGAAAAAAAAAGCGTTTTCTCATGTTTGCCTCATCCACTTGTTGGACTGGCTGGTCTTAAAAAGCTGACAGTTTGCAATTCAGGATGAAGATTTAACTGAGTGTTAAATATAAAGAGAAGCTGTCACAAAGTATGGAAGCACAGAACACATGGAAACACCTTCACACATGTTCAAACAGACACACCTATCTCTGCCCAAATGGAATGAAAACTAACAATATATTGTCAGGAGTAATTAAATCCCATCAGAGAATGACAGTTTTTGCAAAAGTGCTACTTAGATGTTTGTTGTTATGTAAAGATATATATATATATATATAAGAATTCAATTTAAATCATCCCCTATTTACTGTTGCAGTATGTCACTCAAACCTTTTTTTTACCAGCTTGTTCTTTTTCTCTTCATCAACACAAATGTGTACCGAAACACTATTGCTCTTGATGAGCAGTAATGGACACAATCTTGACTTCTTTTTTTGTTTGTTTGTTTTATAATGTTTTTTCTTCCAGTATCTGTGGCTACATGGTCAAGTTTTCACTTGAAACTATCTTTAAAGGTCGTGCTCTCTTCTTCAGTGACGCTTTCCAGGTTTGCGTGTCTGTGTGTGCATGCCATGTGCAACACATGACTGCCGAGCATATTTATATGATGCAATGTGACGGTGTGACATAATGACAGCGGCAGAGAGGGACAGCGGTAACACTTATGTAACAGCAGCATCCTTTTACTGTTTTAAACTCGTGTCACCGCTCTGTCACGCATACGGTTTCTTACTATTGACATGGTCCCTTGCACTGTGGATACGCATGTGTCTGGGCACCAACATGTCAAGTGCATATTGTCTAAGTTTTAATGAACAGTATTCTAATTTTGTGGAGTGAAGAATGTCAGAGGTGTGGATGGATTTTCACATAAATCCCACATTCTTTTACTCAGAGCATGTGAAGAAAATGTTATAAGATGATATTCAAAACCTACCCAGAACACAAGATTTAGAGGAAACTTTGGAGGAGCATTACGTATTTGCATGCAGAATATTGAATTGTATCAAGACAAAATGATTCTGCTGGGTCGTGATGTATTTGTACTAAAAAGTTTACAACAGAAGCACAAAAACTAGTTCCAAAGTGCACAAAAACTAACAAATAAATGCATCAATGCCGTTTCATGTGTTTGCATAACAAAACACAAAAACGCAGCATCTCTGAGCTCCATAAATTGGGTCGTATGTATCTTGCACCTCACCCTTTACATTCAGCTTTATGGGAGTTTTCACAGCCGTCTGCCCAGAGGTGCAGTCCACTGCTCCAAAGTGTTTATTCACCACAGGCATTAAATATAACTGTCAATTAGGAGTGGAAGTCAGGGCTCCTAATGGCCTTGTTTGGACTGTCGTGTGGACAAGCATTAGCGTCTCTCAGTCTGAGAGAAAGTGTGTGTGCGGTAGTGTATGGACTTGTACGTATGTGTATGTTTTATGTGTGTGTGTGTGTTAGTGTGTGTGTGTGTGTGTGTGTCTGCGTCATTCCTGCACAGGCCTCGCTCCCCTTGATCATCCGGAGCAGTGAACATTTCACCTGACACCTTTACGAGAGGACAGGACCCCGGACTCATTTTTAAAGCTCCCCATTCACTTTGATGTGTGTTATTAAACACAACTGTACCTGATTTGTACGCCACTCTCTTTGGTCTCTCCGTCTCCCCCCTGAATATTAGTACTACTTACGGCTAAGTCTGAACATCAGCGGTATTTATGGTCGGGTCTTAATGGGTGGGTTCGCCATGAAAAGGTATAAGAGCATCAGAAAAGGGTAGAATTAATGGAAGGTTCAATCAAAGGGTAGTGATCTTTTATTTTAATGTCGTTTTTTCTCACTTTTATTTAATGCAATCTGCAAATATGCTGAGGAAAATAACTGAAATTGTTGCATTGGTTTGAAAGAAAGTCTATTGATGTTAATTTTTACACCTTTGAATTTGAACTGTATGCTCTGATTGACCTATGAGACACATATTACTGTCTAGATTAAAGAAAAAAGAAGAACAAATGATGCTGGTTTGTGTCTGCACAAGTCCAAGTCACACACACCGTCAAAAAACATGCAAGTTTGGTCTTCGCATCTGTAGCTACTTCATCCAATTCCTAATAGTCTTACTTAAAATCCCATCAAACTAACTACTGCTGTTTGCGAGACACAATAAAGCCTCTACGGCTGCAATAAAACTTTAGCTTCAGCAGGTGTGCATCAGAGATTAATGTCTGAAGCATTTTGGAGGAGAAAGGGTTGATGGGAGGATAAAGGATACAAAGAGCTCATGAATTATCTGCATATACGAGCTGCTTATTTGATCAGCGATAAGGGGAATGAGTCCACTTGCTCTCTAGACTACGCTCACATGAAGCCTACGAGTCCTGCGATACCATCAGTTTAGTTTTCAATGACAACTAGTCCTTAGTGTGAAACACACCCTCGTTGGTATGATAGGATTATGTCTGTGTTTGATGTGCAATGTGTGGAATTAAATAATATCTAGATAAGTTTAAATTGTTTCCTCGTGCTGAAACGTGGGCTTAGTTGTCTTGGCGGTACAGTAAATTGTGTGTTTTGCCCTTCAGGATCAATATCTGGGCTGTGTCAAGGGCACCCCGGTTTCTTCTGCTAATAGTTTAATGAATGTGAGCCAAAAGAGCAGGTTCTTCAAAGGGGATGGAAATTCCTCTGCACAATTGCGACTAATTGTGGCATAAATTCTCAATGGTTTCATAACGGGCTTCACAGCTTGAGGTTTATCATGTGCAATGGCCGCCTTGTTCCCATTTTCACCTGCCGTTGCTCTCAATCAAACAAAGAGGTGGGGTGGAAGTTTCTTTTCATGTGTTCAAAGGTGACCGGTTGCCGAGCAATTTTTTTTTTTCTTTCTTTCTTTCTTTTTTTTTTTTTAACGGAAACAATAACTCTCTTTATTGAGAACAAATGTTGACATTTGAAGGGAGCAGCAGCAGGTGAGAGAAAGAGAGAGAGAGCGAGTAAGAGGCAGCAGGGCCCCTGTGTGCTTTGGAGACTGCCTCTGGTGCTATTTGACAACACTGCCGAGTCCCTAGGGGAACCCACCTGAGAATAAAGCATGCATTTCAATAAATCAGCTCCTAATGAAAGCGTTTGGGCAGAGGAAGAAGAAGCTGGCCAGGGGCTATAACGTCCATGACTTCCATATAGGTGGCTGCCAGCGAGGCAAAGGAAAATGATAATAAGGGAGGTAGAAAAAGAAAAAGGTAGTGATGATCTAAAGGAGAACAACACTGAATTTAAACAAAAATCACCAATGCTTTAAAAAAAAAAAAACTCATCACATTATATATATTTTTTTAACCTTAAACCAAAAGACACTTTGACAGTGTTCCTAACAGTGTGACACTATTCACTATAAATGTATGTCAAAAAGACTTAAGTCAGCCAAAAAAAAAAAAAGGTGGGTTAACTGAGTTTAGGTGGGTTTACCCTGGTGGCAGCTAAATATTACGTCCTTGGATTGGGGTGGGGTTGGGGTGGAGGGGGTGGAGGGGTCCCATGACATTTGGACAACACTCCAGCTCAAATTCAACTGGAAATTGAAGGATTAGCTTTTAGTCTGGCTGGGAGCGATGATGGAGGCCTCTTCTTGGAGGATGGGGGGGATATTATTATATATTTGATCTGGAGTATTTCACACTCTGGGTCACAACTGAGTGGCACAATGTTGGAATTCTTTTTTTTTAAATGCTAAAAATAGAATAAAAATTCAGAATTAATGTCAAAATCACGTGTAAAATGTATAATAATAATAATAATAATAATAATAATAATAATAATAATAATAATAATAATTTATTTTAGACATTTGCTTTTTTCCCCCCTAAATTGTTTAATTAGCTGTGTCCTATAATAACCAAGCCATGATGAAAAGCAGAGGAAAGCCTGTCCGATTAGGGCCCATCACACAGCCCATTGGAGCTGGCAGATGCTTAGATAGACTTTTATGGATTGCTCAATGCCGTGCCGTAATGAAGCAGGCAGGGCTGACCCATCCTGAACCAGGCAGGAAAGAAAAAAAAAAAAAAAAAAAAAGCTCCAGGGACGGCCCCGCTGGGAGCCCATAATGCCCGATGCGTCCCACGGCTGTATTAATCACATTGAAAAATAAATGTGTGGCGGAGGGTAGAGATGGAGGGGAGAAAAAAAAAAAAAGAGGGGGGGAGAAAAATGAAATAAGTATGTCGTTTATCCCCATCAAGGTCGTGAATATGTGACCGAGGAGAGATTCCCTGAGCAGAATGAGGCCCTAAAAGAAAGTGATTGTCCATTTAGAAAGAATGGATTGTGCAATCTGTGAAAACTCATAATGTTTATGAAACGTGAGATTCATCAAGCATTTCCCATCTGCGTTTGACTGACAAAATAAAAGCACAATGAGCAGAGAGAATTAAAAAAAAGAAAAACGCCTGAGTGTTAAATACAAATTTGTCATGAATAAAAGAATGACTCCCCAAGATTTATGTAATAGTTGGGAAAACAGTTTAATATTTTCTCATTTGAATAATGGATATAATACCCCCGCCAGTATATCTTTACCAGCGCGTTTTGATTTTTATTTACATTCAAAGATATAAATTAGTAAAAGTACTCCTGATAACAAGATTGTGTAGCTTTTTTTTTTGTTCCCCCCCAAATGCGTCTCAAATAAAAACCGTCCATAATATATATATTTATATATATGTATATATATTTACAAAACAAGCAGACGATGTCAGTTTCCCATTTTTTTTTGCAATACAACTTGCATAAATTATAGGCATCGTGTCGCCATCATTTAAAAAAATAAATATCAAATGTAGGCTATTCCACTTTGAAGTCCTCAAGTTCTCTTCAGTTCGGTCCACTTTACGTCCCAAAGACACCTCCGTTTACAAATGGTTTATCAGGCCAAAAAAAAGAAAAATGTTGTTTGTTTTCCACACGTAAATATATACTGAAATAATATACCGTGGCAAATAAGCAAACTAGAGGAACCTGAGAAATAACATGTAAAATCACATATAATGGGAGATTTGTTTCAAACCAGCACATGGAAGAAAAAAAAATGATGATCCATAATGCATCAAAGGAAAAAAAAAAGTCAGCTGAAACGATACAGTCATAATAATAATAATAATAATGTGACAGACGTGTGCTGTGGAGACCGTCTCAGTCTGAGGAAAGCGGTAGCAGCGTTCATTCCCGACTACATGGTGGCACTAGATCCAGTTTGGGAGTGAAAAAAAAAAAGAAAGGTTGTGAGGGGGGGGTTAAAACGTGAGGCTAAAAAGGTGGTGTCCTTTCTCCTTTTATAATCAAAGCAATTGTGACACCTACCTGCAGACCATGGAAATAAAAATTTTAAAAAATAAATAAAAAGTAAAAAGGATCACAAATGGTCAATTCCATCCACAACCCCAGAAAACACAAAGGTTGTCAAGGCTGGCTCTAACCAAAAAAAAAAAAAAAAAAAGCTGTGCTGCAAGTGCTTATTAAAAATCCCCACTGCTGCTAAAGAAAAAAAAAAAAAGGCTCTCCGGCGGCAGGGAGGGAAAGCTTCAAACGTGCGCAAGGACAGTAACCACACCAACCACCTAGAAGTGACATTTGAGGATGTGAAGTTGCGCGATGACTGCACAGAGCAAACTCACTAATTTGTTTGCTTTTGGCTGACCCTGTGTAATTATAATTATCCGAAGCTGGGAGAAGATAAGGTCTGGTGAAGGGGGGGGGGGCACTCACACACACACACACCCACACACATACACACACTCTCTCACACACACACGCAGAGGAAACAGTAAAAATTGGATTCCTGCTCAAAGCTATGGCAACATTTCTCTGCTTATTGGATTCACAGGCTGCCACTGTGTGTGTGTGTGTGTGTGTATGTGTGTGTGTGTGTGTGTGTGTGTGCAGGCAGATCTGAGGCCTGCCCTTCATATTCTTATTTTAACGTCTATCTGTACATGTGCTCGTTTGTTTGCAGTTGGCTCGTCGTCTTACATCCTCGCTGCTTTCTAAGGCAAACTTGTTGCAAATTAAAATCCCGTCGCCTGATTCTGAATGATCCCACGAGATCCAGAAAGACAAAAAAAAGAAAAAGAAAATGCATATAGTTTTTAAAAAATGGACAATTAAAAACTGACCCCCCTCCAGAAAGTTATGAAAACCACTGCAGTGAAAACGAATTATAGGCCATAGTGCGCGTTCATTTGCTCAGACGGTGCTGTAAAAAAATGTCCACCTTATGAAGTCATTTAGTCTCATATTCAGTCCTAAAATCGTATTTCTCTTTAAACGAGTGAAAATCTGTCAACAGTGTCAGATAAAGTCACTTGTTTCTTAGGCAAAGAGAATAAAGGCTTCATTTAGTCACTTGGCTCCCATGGGGTCACCACAGTGACACATGGAAGTGACACAAAGAAAACCAGTTGATTTGCAGTGGAAACAAGTGAACTCATTTTACTTCCACCATGGAGCGATTTCCTCCCCCTTTCCAGTGTTTTAAATTAAAATACAATTCCAAGATTCAACACTAGATTAAATACGTTTTTTTTTCTCTCTCTCAGAAGCTATCACCATCATGTTTTGAACACTTTTACGCACCGCGTCATTACGTACCTTTCTTTGATTCTAAATTTGCAGGTCTGAAATGCTGCTGTTGCTCGACAACAACAATCTGGTTTGGGTTATTTTTAACGAGCGGAGAGTCTGGCCTGTGTTTGGGGTTTGTGCTGGCCTCCAGAGCCTGGTGAGAGGAGCTCAGACCCTCGTTTGCAGCAGCAGCAGCGGCGGCGGCGGCGGCTGCAGCCAGACTCACTCCGGATGAATTAGTGTAGCGCAGGATCCCTTGACCCTGCAGGGGGCTGAAGTTGCCATAGTTTGTGTAATTGCTATAAAAGGGAGACGTGTAATAAATAGGTCTTCCAAGGATGGAGGGGGCCGGGTAGAGGGAGGGGGAGCTGGCAGCCGGGGAGGTTGTGGAAGGCGTTGGGGGAGTGAGGAGCCCACCGCTGGAGGAGGAGGAGGAGGAGGAGGAGGGGCAATTCGGTTGCCCGGGCTGCCCCAGTTGCTGATGTTGCTGCTTTTGGTCCGAGGTAGCAATCTCCGCCAGCGACCACAGTTTGGGTTTGACCGCAGGGTTCTGAGGCCTGCTGTCCAGGCATGAGGGCGATTTGTTGGTGCTCATATTGTTGCCGAGGCTCCGGGCCAAATCCTCGCGCTGGCTGTGGAGGTGGTGCAGGTGATGGAGGTGTTGGTGGTGGTGGTGGTGATGGTGGTGGCTGAGGACCGGGGCTTCTACTCCCGTGAGAGGCGACGACGTGACGGGTTTGGGCGACAGCTGAGCCCGCTGCTCGCGGTCCTGGTCCTCGGCGTCCTCGTCGCATTTGTCTCCGGCCTGGTCGGAGCCCAGCTCGCCCACGCAGCTGACCTTCTCCCCGTCTGACTCCGCCGAGCAGGAGTGGTCCGTCAGGGTGTCCACGTGCAAGCTGATACCTGAGAGTGAGGGGAGACAAAATGAGAAAGAAGGTGAAAAATGTGCAGTTACAGAAAAATCATACAGAAGAAGAAAACACTTTAAATGCTTGTAGCAATTAAAAGTCTAATAAATTGTCTGAAACTCATTTGTGCATATTCAAATCAAACAGTGAGGCTTTACAACAAACCAGTTTTGAATAAGTGAGATTATTTTTTCTCATTTTAAAACGTAGGCTACAATTAAAAGCCTATTTCTATACGACAATAATTATGCTTTTACATAATCATAGCAAAATGTCATCATGGGAATAACATTAATAGTCTGGTTTTATTGAGGCCTCTCGTGGTGAGTGCTGTGTTCTGCCACTGACCTGCCATTAATCATGTTCAAGAAAATAAAAATGCCCCTCCTAACAGGTCATTTAGTGCAGTGTTGAGTCTTGGAACCACGTTTTCATTAAAAATTTATATCAATCAACAGTACAGTGCATTAAACCGGATCTCTTGCATAAAAGGCAAGAAAAAAAATACAGTCCAATCCTATGATTTGATTTGGGAATTAGTGTCACAGTTTAATTATTCAATCGTCTTGATATTTTCATTTAAACTCTCATTGCACTAAATAACTTCAGCAGTAAATAATATTTTTTTAAAAAGGAGCATCTATCCACCGTCCCTCCCCCCCACCTCCATCCTCCCCTGACTTGTTAAATTGATCAGTGGCCCGGTCACCAGATTATATCCCACCTTCATCCTCCGCTGAAGCCTCGCTGTTATCCAGGGTTTTTTCGGAGCGCTCCACCTCCTTCCTCTCCCCGTCCCCGTCCTCATCGTCCTCGTCCTCGCTCTTATTCCTGGGCGCCCATGTCATCTTGTTCTCCTTCTTGAGCCTCCTCCTGGCGTTGGCGAACCATGTGGAGACCTGCGTCAGGGTCATTTTGGTGATGATGGCCAGCATGATCTTCTCTCCCTTGGTCGGGTACGGGTTCTTCCTGTGCTCCTGCAGCCAGGCCTTGAGCGTGGCCGTGGCGTCCCTGGTGGCATTTTTGCGGTAAGCCGGGTCGTTGAGCTGGTAGGGGTACCCCGGACTACCGTACGGGTGGTAACTTAATGCCCCGGCCATGCCCGTCGTGTGCGCGTCATATGGAGAGGACTGGAGGAAAGTTGTAAAAAATATAAAATAAATAAAAGTCACGACTCTGTCATGTGTTTTCTTCTGCTGAGTTAGGATTCCAGCTTTTTGAAAGTGCATTCAAAATAAGAAAACAACTCCACAAATGAAAATACATTAAAACAACACCATAATTGCTTTAAATTATTATTATTTTAAAGTTTAATTCTGCAGTGCAGTTTTGGAACAAGTGAAAAATGACTGGAAGATGGTTGAAATGAAAAGATTTAATCCTCTTTTTTGGGGGGAGTAAAATATATAAAATGTAATTTAAACATCCTGGGCATGATTAATGGCCTGCATTGCACAGTTAAAAACAAACACAGCATTAATATTTCATATACTTTTAGCGTCGATCATTTGTCACGGTTTAAAAAAAACAAAACACTAATTGTAAGTAGGGATGGTAAACACACGGTGCGTAAAAGCAGGCCGCAGAAAGCCACCAACTAATGGTTAACTAATGGTTAAGATCTTTATCGGATTAACTAATAACACAGCACCTGTTAATGTAGCAGTTGAGATAACAAAAAGGAAATTTTAATTTTCTATAATCACCCATTAACTCGCTCATTTTCTTTCAGTGGCTGCTTTTATTTTTATTTTTATTTTTGTGATGGTTTTTGTTTTGTTGTGGCAGCCTCAGTGTGTTAACATATCTCCTCTTTGCAGCATTACAAATCCCATTAGCAAATCACTTGATATGCACCTTTCCCTAAAACGCTTGAAGTGCCCTGTGACATTAGCATCGCGAGTCATGCTTTTCATGTTTAAAATTCAGTTTATTCAAGTGAGAATAAAGTCTGCGACTCCATCCATCCCCTGGTGGTTTTAATGACGGCACGGAGAAGAAAGACTTACAGCTTATGTTCTATTAATTTCATATGATACATAAAATTCACCGCTTAGAAGCTAAATGTTCTAATAGAAATCTTCAGCGCTCAGTTTTACGCAATTAGCTGCGCAGCGAGTGTTAAGCGGTGGTCAAGCCAGAACAATCTGCAGCTCATGCTTTTAAAAAAATCCCATTTAAGCCAACGGAGTCAATGATTTAATAGTAAGGAGCCCTTCGAGGAGGCCAGTAGATGCAGGAATTAATGAAAAAGTTCCGCAAGCACTTAAAAACAACACAACAAAAACAGTGCAAAGCGATTTAATCGCGCACTGTGTCTGTGGCTGCAGACGTTCAAACGGCCACACAGAGACGTTTTCATGCAGAAACACACACATGGGATGTATATTTATTTTACCATGTAGGATGGGAATCCCGCAGTTGGATCCGCGGAGTATGACAGTGGACTGGAGAAGCCTGCGCCGGCCGAGGCGGAGAAGGCAGCCGAGCCAGGGTAAGGGCTGAAGGCTGAGCCAGAGGACGACCTCGCCAAGTCTTCATTCCGCGGGGCAGCCAGAGCCGATGCCCCGTAAGCCGGACACGAATAAAGAGCCAGAGAGCCTGGGGGCTGATAGAGGTAACCCTGAGGATAGGACATTGGTGAGCCCCGCGATAGGTCGCCGATTCCAAAAAAGGGAGGAAAGAACGCACAGGGCGTCGGACAACAGCGGCCAAAATAATCAACAATCAGCTCAATAATCAGCCGTGCAAACAGTCATCAGACAGTGAAAATTAAAAAAAAAAAAAAAAAAAAAGAGGCCTCCCTCCACAGCCCCCTTACTGTGAAAAAAACCCCCGAAAGATCTGTTAAAGTGCCCACATAGAGGCAATGTGGCATGCGTCTTGATCCCCTAGCGTCCGATGTTTTTAGTACGCAGCACTATGAAGTGAGGAGTTAGGAGGGAAGGAGCCAGTGGAGTTTCAGACACACAGAGCATTGGGGGAAACTGGAGCTGTCACTCCGGCTCATCTGAATATCCCATCCCCGCCCCCTTTCTGCCTGATAGAAATGGAGCCTCGGAACAAAACCAAGACTCCACACTGCAAAAAGAAAAAAGAAAAAAGTGGCTTCCTCTTGAGAAGAGACGCGTGGTTTGGTTTGGGGTTTTTAAAACTTATTTTACCTTAATTAAAGCAGGAAAAGCCATGGATTGGACGTGATGTGATAGTTGCCAGGTCCAAAAGCGATACCTGGATTATTTATCATTTTGTTTCTCGAAAATTCACTTCACAGATCAGATGTGGAATTATCTTTTTATTGCCATGGTTTCATTTATGGATAAAAATCCAGATTGCGCAATAATTGATTTGTTAAGGTGGACATGTTTTACAGTATGTGCCATAAACAGACTGATATTAAGTGAAAGAGTAGTAAAGGGGAAAATAAAGGAGTTCACCTGTTTCACTCAATCGTTTTTTTTGTTTTTTTTTTATTTGTTTTTGTTCTGTCCGGTTCTTTCATTTTAAGAGCAGCTTAAGCAACACGGCGTCTGTCTGATCAAAACTTGCGCCGCAACAGAGGGTGGAGAGAGTGTATAAAATGGCCAGTGCTCTCCACTTGCAGCTGGTTATTCCGTCAGTCTATCACACGCCGACACATCCCGTGAATGTATGTGGGCACTTGGTGAAGTGTGCGCGGCTCCTCTGGCAGTGCGCGCTCCGGCCTGCGGGAGGCGTATCCTGCTCCTTAAGTTCCACCACTTAGCGCATCTCAAACACGCTCATCCCTTATTATTACAATTTCATTCATCAGCAGTAATAAAGCTGTTGGTGGTGCGTAATTGTCGCTTTCTGAGAGGGGGGAGGGGGGCAGACTCTCCTCTACACAGACATCAAGCCTAACCAGCACCCAGCTATTTGACTGTGAGCTGTGACAGGTTTTGTTCACACTTGACCAGTGTGTATGGGCACTCACCTGTCTGCGCAGTTGTGTGCCTGCGTGCGCGCTCTCCGGACGCGTCTGTATGCAAACCAGGGCACAGCCTTGTCCTTTATTATTGTGATTACAGACATTATGACCTCTGTTGGAGAGAAGAGATACAACACAGCTTGGGGGTGGTGGGGGTGGGTGGTTGGGGTGGGGGGGACCTGAAAGTGTGACACCAGTTTTTGGAACGGGCTGTCAAGGTGGCAACTATTGGAAAGAAATGTGGCCTCGCAGTCTTCCTCATCAGTATTCATCCAAATGAATGTATTCATCCATCAGGTGCTTGTTCCTGCACTGCAATGTGGTCTGGCAGGGCTGTAAACAGCAGCAGCACAATTCAAATAAGAGCAACACAGCCTGCTGCCTGTTAGCAGGAAGGACTAATTTATTTATACACCTAAATAACAAGCATTAGAGTGTGAAATTTTACAATTTAGATTATGTTGAAAGCAGACATGACAAGATGGTGACTATTACATGAAGTCTGGTAGCATATATTGCTATCACATTGTAATATATGAGGTAACAAGTACAGTGTAATTGGAGGCACATTGCCAAGAATTGTAGTGTTCTTCTTTTTTTTTTTGAAGAAAAAATCTAAACAATGAGCACCAGCCTCAAATAAAAGGCCACGAAAAAGCATATATTTAAAAGTCTGTTGATGAAGTTTATTACAGCAAAAGCTATTTTGTGAATAAAATCATTACTGACACATTGCATAGCTCAAAAAAGCAAATATAAATGTATAAATATGTGTTTACAAAGCTTTAAAAATCTTGCCTATATTTTGATTCCATATTAATATGCTTCTAAACACACAGGTCTACTTTACAATCATATCACTCAAAGTGTATGCTTATCGTATGATAGGCTGGCTAATGGTAGTTACAATAAAGAAAATCCACTTGCTGTTTTGTTTTTGTTTTTCCAAATGCAATTAAAGTGCATTTTTATTTTTGGAACTTTGCCCACTTTGAATTATAGCTGTTTGTCACATTCTGGAAATGGACAGTGAATTACACATCAGTAAAGTAATTGCCAGGTTAATACCTAAAATAGTATTGCCAAATAACCCTCAATATGCATGACTTCATGACTAAATATTTACCCTTGTCACAAATTCTTCATTGTTTTTCACCTCAGAAAGTTTCACATCTTTTTTATAGATGCTGAGTGTTTATTGTACCCTCAGTTATTTCTGTTTTTCAGAGAATTTCTTGGAATTTTTAGGGACATGTAGGTGGTTTCTCTCTTTCAGGCAGGACTAATCAAACCCAGAAGAGTAAATGAGCACTCTGAAAATAGATTGGGTCAAGATATGGCTGACTGGGAGTACTATTAGGCCCACACCAGGGGGCACTGTCTCCTCTGCACACAGGCCACTGGCTAGCTATCAGTACCTGTGCCGGTGATTGTGTGTATGCATTCATGGTCTGTGAGGGTCTACATGTGTAAAGCACGTATAATAGTGAGATTATATGCACGTGCATGTAAATTCTGAACATCTGCATATCGCCATGGTGAGAGCGCACCTGTCGGCCTGTTTTAAGTGAATAACTTTGTGTGCGTTAAACTCCACAGTGGTGCATTCCAGGTCTCAGTTTCAGACAGACTCCAAAGATATTTTAGTCCCAGCCTGATGGAGATATAGGAGATGGAAGTGAAGAGATTGACAGACAGACAGAGAGACGAGGCAGACAGAGGAAGACAGTATAGATGGTACAGAGGCAGTAAAGCTGGCAGATGCAGGGAGACAGGAAAGCATCAGGTCAGACGGAGGCAGAGTGGAGAAAGATGTAGACTTTTCCTATGTGAGCTTATCACCAATTTAGACTGATGTAAATTAGCTGTGTAAGAAATGGATGTTTTGTTTTGTTTTCAGTTTGAGGCATTGACAGTTTTGGTGGTGATCTTGAGATGTTTATACTCAACTTATTAACAATCAAAAGATAATGAAAAGTACAAAGAAAAATCCATTTGCAGATGTTAGTTTTCTGATTTAATTAGCTTTTAATAAAAAAAAAACAACAAAAAACAGCAGACACAGGACAAAACAAAATGCTGTTGTCATAATATGACTGTTTAAAAGATTAAAATCAGTTGTAATTGCTCACCAGATGTAGTTTTTTTTGCAAAAGAAAGAAACTGTTATCAATTACTTATTTCTTTTCACAACTTAATTTATCACTGACTGGCGGAGTTGCCTGCATTGTATTTGCTGATGGTTGCTAGCAGAAAAACACCCTTTTAACCTGGACAGCTAAAAGATAAAGCCTCCATGTCACGACATTTGTTTATTACACAGATTAAATAAGTATTGATTTGTGATTTCTCAAACACTCTTGAACCTCTGGAGTGAAGCTGCTGTGAAGCGTTTTATATTCTTCACTGAAAGGAAGTATTGAGGGTTTATGTTCGCTACCTGTGTGCATGTGGAGGAGATGCTGGTTGGTGTTGGGTAAACGTGGAAACATGTTTGTGTCTGCCTGTTCCTCTGACTATGCATAGCAGCGGGTGCATGACTAGCAGAGAAATGGACTAGTGATATTAAGCTGCTGTGAAATCAATACGGTCTGGAATATAGCAGAATGATTAAAGCCTGAGCCTGGCTGCTCAGAGTCACTACTGCTTCCACATTTTTGTGACTTTACTAGAACTGTATGTCCTCCTTGAAGAGCAGTTTGTGTCTTGTGGTCTGTCTCTTAGTGATTTTACATCCAGAGAGGTGTTGTAGTGATTATTGCTCATCTAATCTTGCATCAGTTGAGAACATTATGCTCTAAACACATTTACTCTCCTGGATATTGAAAAAAAAAAAATCACCCAAAGAGCTCCAAATGTTTTTTTTTTTTTTTTATCCTCTGTGGGCTGGTGAAGGAATGCTCAGCATCCCAAACTTGCAAAGTACAGCTCATGTGAGTTTGTGTGCTCGTGTTTGTGCGTGGGCGTGTGCAGCGAAGGAGGAAAAAAAAAAAATGCATTGTGATCTTTCATTGTGCAACTTAGTTAGCTGAACAGACTTTAGCTTCATGTGATCAAAACATTTCCACAAAACTCTTGAGATCAGTTTTTTTTTTCTAAATAAACGACAAAATGTTTCAGTACACGATTTTGTGCGTCTATCACTACATCGGATTTTGATGCACTGCTACAGTTCATCCCCTCCTCTTCTTTTGGTTTGTCACAGAAATGTCTTTGGTCTCCTGATTTTTTATTTTTTTTGTTTGTTTTTTTTGCACATCGGGGGAGGGGTCAGTAACTGAAGGGGTGAGGGGGGTGAGGGGCTGGGTGGCAGACTGGCGACAGGCCGTCATCTCTCTCCCCGCCTGGCATCTGCCCACTGCTGCCAACCCTCTTCTAATCAGCAGCCGTCCATGTGCTTGGCAGCAGAGGGGGTTTGAAATCAGCCCCTCGCCCCGAGTTAAAAACCCTAAGCCCTATCACTTTGTAAACGGGTACCTTTAGGGTGACTGAAGCAGGGATGCCTCTGATGTGCTGAAGTGGAGAACATCGGTTGCCACGTTGCTTCAAATACATTATGCTGCTAGCACTGTTGTTGTTGCTGTTGTTCTTGTTTGTATACTTAAAAAAAAAAAGAAGAAGAAAAAAAATCACTCGACAGCTCTTTCTTTAGGTTTGATTTGTTTAACATGCCGCTAACTGACATGGATGTTGGGAAAACAGTTCTCAGGGAGGAAAGTGAGAACGATGGGCTTGAAGAGTAATTCCTCTTGGAGAAAAAGAGAAAAAAAAGCGGGGAAACAACAACTACACTTGTAGCAAAACACAAGCCTTTATTTTGCTTTTTTTCCTGACATGTTGTCTGAATTGGTAAGACAAGGAGAACGATGCGCCCGCTCCCTAATTCATGGTGGAAAACGTCTCTCTCAAGTGCTGCCTT